ATCTCCACCAGGCCCTCTGTTACTGTCGCCGAATCGATTGCTGGCAGGGCCACCGCGTCCGGGTAGCGCGTGGCGAAGTCCACCATGGTCAATATGTAGCGGTTTCCGTTTCTCGACACAGGTTTTAAAGGACCGATAATATCGATTGCCACTCGCTCGAAAGGGGTGTCGATCAACGGCATTACGCCCAGAGGCGCCTTGCCCACTTTACCTTTTGGATATGCTCTTTGGCAAATGTCACAGGATCGCACGTATCTCTTTACTTCTTCCTGAACTCCTGGCCAATAGAATGATCCTAGTACTCGGTCAATTGTCCTCTTGATGCCTTGATGGCCCGCCATCAGACTTTCATGAGCTAGCTGCAGTACTTGGCTCCGCAGTTTGCGAGGAACAACTACCTGCTGTACTATCTTGCCGGAGGATAACCGATAATGGCGATATAAAACTCCCTTTTGCATAACAAACGAATATTCTGTCGATCCTCTCCCAAAAAACACCTGCCCAACTTTGTTCCTACAGAGATCTAGGCTCTTGTCCTCCGCCTGCTCAATCTTGAAGATTCGTTGGTTGATATTCAAAGCGGTTGCTTTCACCGAATCCAACGAAGTACTTGAATTCTTGACTACGCTGATCATTGGTCTCTCGTAGCGATCTGCTTTCATCACCCCTAATCTCTCCTTGACGCTTTTAGACTTCGTCTTCCTTTCCGACAGTCCCTCGCTCCACCTGCTATCTGGATCATTGGGATCACGGGATCCTGGCACGTTTCCCACGATGACGTCATACAATGGGGAAGTCATGCATTTAACGATCACCGTACCAGAAAAATAGGGCGAAAATATCTCCACTTTTGCTTCGGGAACTTTTATTCTGCTCCCATCGGCTAAAAATACTGTCGTCATAGCTCCTGTCAGCACTTCGTCGGGCACGAGGGAACGTCGCACAACCGTCGTGTTACTTCCTGTATCCCTAAGAACAGAGACAGGCTTACCAAATAGGAGACCCTGGAGAACTGGCATCTGATATTTCGTTGCCATTTGTTGCGTGTTTACTGCCCCCGACACATTATTCTCGGGCCCGCCGCCGGATGCGTTATCATTGTCTTTAGAGTTCTCTTCGGACAATATACATGAAGCCTTTTTATACGTAGCGGGTTTCTTGGTGCAAACTTGGGTATCGTGTCCTGCCCTACGACAATGCCCACAGTAAGGTTGCTTCGTCCGAGCGCGACAATCTGAGGCTTTATGGCCGATTTTGTTGCAAACAAAACATTGCACTGAAGTTTTTGAGGTCGTGCTCCCACTTTTCACAGCCATGCCGTTTTCAGCCTTTTCTCGGAAAACAAGCAGGTTAGACTGTCGCTGTGCCTCTAAAAACTGATCTGCCGCTTCAGCCATTTCTTCAAGTTTACGGCAATTCTTTTCACGCAAAAAGAGCGCCACTCGATCATGACACTTACTGATGAACTGTTCAGCTACAATCAGGTCACGAACTGACGCGTATTCTTTGTCTACTTTCGACATTTCCACCCATCGGTCGAAAAAACTCATTAATCGTGCAGCGTACTGCCGGCCGGTTTCTCCCTCTTGAGGCTTACTGTGCCGGAACTTCTCACGGTACCCTTCCGCTGTGAAGCGAAATCGCTGAAATAGAGCCAGTTTCACTTTCTCGTAATCAAGTGCATCTTCAGGGGATAGGCGACCAAACACTTTTAGCGCTTCTCCGCTTAGGCACAAACTCAGAGCCGTGGCCCACTTGTCTCTAGGCCACTCTTGCCCTGTCGCCACATTCTCGAACCTTTTTAAGTACGCATCTAGGTCATCCCGGTTTTCATCAAATCCTGGTATAAAATTATGAGGATTGACGTTGGAAGACACCCTTGATGATCGACCTATGTCTGCCCCGACAGGCTCTCTGGCGGTTTCAGTCTGAGTCAGTTGAAGGCGCAATTGGATCGTCCTTTGGGCCTGCTCCTCGACTTGTAATTGCAACTGCATTTGTTCCTTCTTCGCCTCTCTTTCTGCCGCCCTTTCCTCACGAGCTCGAGCTTCTCGCTCATCAATCCAAGTTTTCAATTCCGCACCTTCCAAACCCATGCGCATGGCCAACGCCATTAAATCTGTCGAGCTCATCTTTTCCTCACTAATCGTCAGCCTGACTCAAGCGATACAAATGGCCTCGTCCTGTCGCAGCGGACGCCAGTGTTACATTGCAGTGGGTGTTATAGCAACGTGCAGGTTCTTAGTTAATGGGTGTCCGAGCCGTCGCCCCAGACTCCCACGAAAAGACGAGGCCGTTTGTACGCCACACTTTATACACACGAAAAACGAACACACATAACATGGACAGGCTATTTAAAGAATCCTTCACTGTCTCTGTGAACTATCAAAGTCCTAAACTAACCGTCCCTCCTTTTTAGCATGGACGCAAGACATGAGGTCGGTCTCACCGAGGTTCGTTGCTACGTCTTGAGCTGGCTCGCGTTGTCCGCACGGTCAACCAGGCGACTAGTTGATGGGTAGGCCCCGCCCCCACAGCCACGTCGCGGCTGGACACATCTGCTGGAGCTCGAGCCCGTAGCCCGACAGCTCCGCGTTGCTCGCACGGTAGACCAGGTGGACCCGTTGGCGCGGTAGACCAGGCACTACCACCGGCCGCGTCCCGGCCGGACACCTCTGCTGGAACTCGTGCCCGTAGCCCGACAGCTCCGCGTGTCCTCAAGCACAGGATGCCTTGAAGCCGCAGCACGTCAGCGACGCACGGCCGTGGCAGGTAGAACGTGGCAGGTAGGCCGGGCTCGACTGTTACTAGGCTCGGGTCCGGAACCCAACGGCCGAGTCGAGAGCCCCGTCTTCCTCGTTCCTTCTCGTACCTTCGCCGCCACGCTACTCAGCGCTCGTGCTACCTTCGTCGTTGTCTGCTTCAAGCGCGCACTTTGTATGGCGCGCACTTTGAATGGCGCGCACTTTGAAGCTTCGCGCACGACACATATCACAATCGCAATACGTTGGGCCTTACCGAGTTCTGCGCCAAGTCGCACCTGTCATCTATGAAATTTCTCCAACCGCGAACCCTACTGTTGCATCCAGAAGCGACATTGTGCATGTGTCTCGCCTGAAGCCCTATCGCAGTGACCCGTCCGTCTAATAACAGCAGGCACCGGGGCGGTGCTTTGCCGCCCGGGGTAATGTCACGGGTATAGAAAGGCACCTTAGGCACTGGTGCAGAAATGACGCAGAAGGAATGAAGACGACGATGTTGTTGTGGGGCCGTGTCTGAACAGCCCTCTTGTCCTGCATCCTTGCGCACTGTGTGCAGTGTTAGCCCACCCGGAGTTCACTTATTAAATACTCCTTGTTACAATATTTTCACGGTTCCTTCAGGTTTTATAATGACAGTCTACTGTAGCGAGGCTTGCCAAATTTCTGTGGCACAAAATGCCAAAAGTTTTTGCACACATTGGATGGATAACTTTTGGCATACCGTTGCGGGTTTCAGCTTTACCAAAATATGTCTACAAGTCTACCTTATCTTTGCCACGGCATCTTAGCCACTACAAGTGGCATGCTGCATATCAACATCTTGCTTATACAGAAGAAGTGCATGCATTATCTTGCCGATGATGAATACTATAAAGTGACAGGATGCATTGATCACTGAAATTCACTAGTTCTCCCTCATTATACTGCAGTGTTTTCGTAAGCTACCACACATTGTGTATTGTCATGAAACACACTTCAATACCAAATGAACGTTTCACTTTCTCATTAAATGTCCACCACAGTGACCGAGATCCCTGCTAAAATCAGCAGTTCGCCTTTTATATTACTATAGGTCGGCACTACAAGAGAGTACTCACTCAGCCTCATTTTTGTTTTCTGTTTCACACTCGCAGCCACACTCGAGTGTGCTCACACCGATATGTACTCACTCAAGTCCATACTTATGCCTGTTCACTCTCATGGGTACTTATACTCACACACTTTTCAGAAAGAAGAGTACCGTATTCACTCGCACAATAAACCCACCTTTTTTTTTTTAGAAAAGCTGACGCCCATCTAGGAGGAGGATTCATTCCGCAGGAAAAAAAAAAGTAAAGGGAGTTATAAAAGTGTAAATTTCGCATGACGGTTTTCCTTGTCTTGGCCTGCAAGATGTGCTGCGAATCGTTTTTGTAGCCCAAAGCTGTTGTTCTCTCCTGTAACGAACGCGCCCAGATTGACGCCGAAGTTCGGTTCTATGCTACGGTGCATGCTCGACCAACTTTTAAGTTATAACCAGCTGTGTAGATCTCGTACCAGCCAAATGCGTCCTGCACAGCAGGTGCCCAACTACGGTCAATACAGCGAGCCCGACAACAAAAACAATAAACGATGCGGGTGCACGACGCGCCGTTGACGCGGTTGCGCTTTGTATGGCCTTCGAGATGACGGGCGCATGGAGTGTTGCTATGTCGCGCAACCCTTATCTCGGAGGTCCCACACTTTGTTTTTTGCTTTGTCTTCTTGCCGCTGTGCTCGCATGGCTCTATAAGCAAAGAGGTTTCTCCCGCATTCAATAGATGGCATCCTGCCACAAGCGGTGCAACTTAAAATTTTTTATTGAAATCGTGAGAGCTTGCGCTGCTCGCAACTGTTCAGCATGGTTGTTAAAGTATTTTTGTTTTTATTGCATCACTGCTTTGTGATATAATGGCTTGATTTAATAATGTTTTGATCGTCAACAGCACTGACTATCATATGTAAATAAAAATAAAATGAAGAGATCCATTGGACCAAAGCGGGGGGTGGGTTCATTATGCGAGTGGGTTCAATGCGTGAGTAAATACAATATGCTAAGCTATGTACATGATGCACAATTTTGCCTTGTGAGCTTGGCAGATATCAACTGCTGCTGTGCATGCATTCTGCCGAACTTTTTTGTCAGCCAGAACTATACACGACGTCAAGAAAATCATTCATCATTATAATATAGAAATAAAGAAGGATGAGCAGGCTCACCTGTGGGTTGCGAAGGAAGCTGGACCGGTGGTTGATGCAGCCACCCGCACGATCCATGGCACTGCCACGCTCCCCAACGGTCCACTCACCCGGAAAGCTCTCCTCTCGCCACCCACCACGGCCTGGCACATAGCACACACACATATCCGTGAACGCCCCCGCAAAGTCTTCCAAGGGAATCCTGCAGGAGCATTAACGCCACTGGTTTCCACTTTTCTGGCATAACTTCACTCAATGGACCTTCTTGTCACAAGCGCTATTGGAACATGTGTGCAGTTGTCATCAGCCCAGTGCAGGGCAATAGAATCTCCGATGTTCTGGCAATGCTCAGTCTGGTCGAGATGCCACCACTTTATCCCAGCACACTTCTCAATTGCATCTAACCACCTTACATCTGCCTCTCTTTCTCTGTAGGTTGCCCTTAACGAACATATGCCTTTTCACTAAACGCCCTGTCTACATCCACTTCATTTAAACTCGGACATAACTGATGTACATTTGTTGAAATACACGCAGTAACGTCTGTGAAGTCAATTCGGTGTTTTGTTTCCACATCCAGCAAAGATTCTGCTATGTACAATAATACCTAATTTGCTTAATTTTGCATATCTCCAAAAATAGGCTAAGTAGAAACTTTCCACAGCACCGAACATTTTCCTACACGTCTTAGGTATATTTTTCTCTTTATCTCGAAGTATTGTTGGGTCAAATGGCAGATGACTTGAAAGCTTGACTGGGAATGGAATCAAAAAACCGCTGCTGGACCATTTCACAAGATTCGCGTGATGCTGCCACGCCTGAACTCTGCCAATTTTCTTTTTTTATCTAGTTGTGCCTGCCACTACGTCGATGCTTTCGGAAACGCGGAGGACGCGAAGTCTCAGTCCAGTGACTTATCAACTTTGTCAAGCAGCCCTGTGGGATGTCATGTGACACATGCACTGAGCAGGGAAGCCTTCAGCCTACGCTTGGCGTAGTTCGTATCGTTCTCTGTGTGCAAGGCATGATATTCCTTTAGGTGTGATTGCCGTTCATCCGCGCAAACCACGCAGCACGAATGTTCTGCTGAGCAGGAACTTAGCAGGGGTGCAACAAGCATGGCTTCAAAGCAGTGCAAGTCACTGATGGTAAAGAATAAATTGCCATAATTAAAGAAGTGGAGAAAGGAGGCCGAACTAAATTGAGCATCGAACAGTAATTCAACATCGCACAGTACCATAATCAACATCCCTTTGTCCACGCTATCAACAGCGCTAAAGAACAAGCAGAAGGGGTCCCGATAGATTTCAGCAGAGCTTCTCCAGCCAGTGAAAGCTGGTTCGAGGGTTGAAGTTTCCGGATGTTGAAGCGGCGTTGATAGAATGGCTTCAAAATAAGGTCAAGTGCAGCGGCGGGCAAGATTGACTGACGTGATGCGTCAAGCAGCTCAAGGACGCCTTCCTAGGCCCGAGTACGACCACAAAGTAGAGGAGCATTAGGCAGTTTTGCTCTGATAAGTAAAATGGCAGTGCGGCGAAACCCAGCCGGTCAAAGTCTCTTGTATTTTGTTTTCTTCTCTTTAAAATATGCACGAGAAGAAAGATTAGAAACTGCCGCTAAAGAGCCGGTAAGTAGTAGGAATTTTTCTGAAATGTGGTCATTTTCCCGGCAATTAGCATAAGTTTGCTCATCTCGAAAATCAATTTATCTTGAAATTTTCCCCGATTTTCACAACTTCAAGTTAATGAGGTATTACTGTGTCCATGCCAATCCCATTCCACGGTACCAAGGTTTCCTTCTTTCAATCCTGAAAATAGCCTTCACGAGATCTTTTCAATTTGACTGGTCATAATAGGTGCATTTATAATTAATCACAACCACAGAAATAGCACTTTTAATAGCAGCAACACCAGCAAAACATGAGATGTGTTAACGCATTCACTGTACCCCAATCAGGCTACGATGAATGAATGAGTAGAACACACACCATCTCTGGTTTGAATCCATTTTTTTCCGAGCAGCCCTAAGTAGTGCGAAAATCGCAATTTATGATGAATAAGTACAACCACTACTCTGTCCCAATACAAGTGCTTTTTAAAAAAAATTTATTGAAAAACTTTTGATGGGATTGAGTCTAGTAAGATCCAGCCTAGCCAGTAATATTGTATCGACAAGATGGTTACATTGAAAGGCAAGCCTGCATAACAGGACAAAAAAGACATGCTACTTACAGTTTGATTGGAAGTGACACTTTTATACTGCATGATATTTTACATATAACAGTACACAAGGGCCACAGTTCGCTTTTACATTCAATTGAAACATTTTTAGGCACAGTCCATACATGCATTCCTTTATGTTTAGAAATAGTTATTTCTTCGTTTAACCATTGTATTTATGTAATAAGTGCACCTCTCTATTTTGTCATCACAAGATGGCTTTTTATATTACTGCCCCCTCCCATCCGTCTCGGTGAATCAGTGGTTAAAGAATAGATGGTCGAAACTTCTGGATCCTTCCACTCCGGCATGCCTCATAACCATTTCCCGACTTCAGTACGTAAAACCCGCAATATTAAAAAAAATGACTCCCTCCTAATTTGTCCTGCACATCACATGACCCCTCCGGCCTATTTTCTCCTCTTTAATGGCAACCAGATCATCAGCAGCATTAAATCTGGATCACGAGTTCTCTTGAGTTCATTAAAATGCTGTCGTTGCCACTGTTGTTGAACATACAGTCGACTCTCATTAATTCAAACTCGAAGGGACCCCTGGATTTTGTTTGAATTATCAGGCTGTTTGAATTATCAGAAGTTCTCATATATGCGACTCTGGGTAAGGTGACAGCACAAATTATGATCAGACATCTATATTCACACTTTTAAGCATCTCTAGATCCTAACTACACAAAAACAGAGAGCGGTGCATGTATGGTCAACAAGTTTATTGACTATCTACTGCTGACTAGACCTTTTAAAAAAATCATGGATGGTCAACTGCTTATTTGCCACATGCGCATTTAGCACAAAGCTCTCGATGCCAGTAAGTGCTGCCAGTTGATTCTGAGAGTTTTCTGTTGTTGTCAGAAATTTTCTCACTTTAGCAATGTACTGGAAAGCCTGTGCAGTTGTCACATTTTCCACTTCCGGTTCTTCTTCACTTTCACTGCTGTGTTGTGCTGGCAGCACCTCTGCCACCAAGTCATCGAGTGTGTCCTCCCTGCACACGCACAGGTTATCATCAGTAGCTGCATAACTGTCGAGGTCGGCAGCTATGTTGTGCGCTTTTAGAGCAGACAGCACTTGGCTTTCATCGTCGCCCTCAGTCTGCAAGCAGTCAGATGAAGTGGCAATGCTGCAGCCAGGTATGCGGAAGGCATGCTCGAAGCAGTTCCTTATTGTTGCTGATGTGACAGAATTCCATGCGTCGGCGAGCATGCCCAACGATGAGAGTAGTGTGACACTGTAAGGCATGGAATTGTCCATACATATCAGCATTCTCTTTAGCAGTGTTTTCCGGTAATTAAGCTTCAAGCATTTGATTACCCCTTGATCCAGGGGCTGGAGGACAGCTGTAGTGTTAGGAGGCAGAAATTCAAGGCGAATTGCTTCCAGCCCCTCCACGTCGCCGTGCGCAGGGCAGTTATCAACAATGAGCAAAATTTTCCTTTTCGCTCGCTTCATTTGCCCATCCAGTTTGCGGAGCCAACCCTCGAACAAAGCTTGCGTCATCCAGGCTCGCGTGTTTCCGTCATATGCAACTGGGAGCGTTCGGACGCCTTTAAAGCACCTGGGACGCTTTGACTTGCCCACAACGAAGAGTTTGGCTTGTGACTTCCGTCCATATTGGCGCAAACCATGACGGTTAACCGTTCTTTGCTCAGCTTTCCGCCAGTGCAACGCTCTCCCTTGCGACACAAGGTTTGATCGGGCAGGCACTTAAAAAACAGCCCCATTTCGTCGGCATTATATACATCAGCCGGGGAGTATTCAAGCAGCAGGCTTTGAAGTCTAGTCTGCCGCCAGTCAGAAGAAACAGCTTCATCGACCACTGCTGCTTCACCACTCACTGTTTTGAAGGAGAGACCGTGGCGTTTCTTGAACCGAGAAATCCAGCCATCGCTGCACTTGAAATCTTCAATTCCCAAGCGCAAGGAAAGTTCTTCAGCTTTCTCTCGTAGGATTGGCCCATTTATCGGTAAATTGGAGCTCCGTGCGCGCTTGAGCCAAAGAAGCACGGCGTTTTCGAGATCCGGGTACGCAGCTTCCCTAAGCCTTTTCCGATCGGGAGCGAAGCGGCTCGCGTTATTCTGCAGCTTGTCTTTGGCTTTCAGAATGGTTGTGAGAGTACTTTTGGTTATTCCATACTTCAGTGCCACTTCGGTCTTCTTTACCCCAGCGTCGACTTCTTGGATAGCGGCCAATTTCTCTTTTAGGGGTAGTGTCCGATATTTTCCTCGCGGTGACATGGTCGATCGAAAAATGCGCAGCACGTAAGAAAGACGGGCAGACCTGTACGCATTCTGTGGGCAGGTCACGTGCTTCGGAGTCGGCCGGCGCCACCGGCATGCCGGAAAAGCAGAGATAAGCCGCGAGCCAGCTTCGTAACCACCGGGCCGTTTTTGTTTTTCGTTTTTTTTTCCACCGCGGCGCGGAATGCTGAGAAATGATTGCGTGGCAAAACCTTTTCCCTTGAAGTTTTAAGGCGCTTATTTTTCAATATCAGACTATTATGATAATCATAAGCACGCAAATTTTCAAATATTGCCGGCAAATCAGCAGAAATTTTCCGGTATGGACAGGCAGAAAGTACGAATTAACCGAATGACGAAGTTTGAATTAAGCGGCTTTTAAATACATTGAAAGCATAGCGAGCCAACCAAAATTTTGAATTTTGTATGAATTAACCGAAAGTTCGAATTATCAGAGTTTGAATTATCGCGAGTCTACTGTACAATCTTGAACTTCGCTGCGCAACACCACGGTCCCTGGGCAACGCATGAACGCACGCGCAGCACGCATCCATATGCGTTTGTTGAGTAATCTCGACTTACCAAAATTCTTGTTCATCAGACGGGCGGATGCCAAGCTTGGTTTTTTCTGGTTCTGAGAGACTGGACCACTCGGCTGACCTGTAAGTGATTGCATGTGTAACGTTAATTCACAACAGAGTTGCACGAATAGCGAAAATTTGGGCTTGAAGGGAATTCTAATACCGAAGTGTCAATGCAAATCGTATGAAATATTTTGCAAATACACTCATATCTTCATATAACACACCTGGATATCAGGAAATATAGGTTATAATGAAGCAAGTGAACAACAGTCTTGCAATAGATACAGTGTTAGAAATATATCTTTACAACAAATTTTCGGATAAAATGAACTTAGTTTTGTGTAAGATGCAGCTTTGTTATAATGAAGTTTGAGTGTACTTTAAAGCAAAATTGAAGAAAGACCAGTTAGAGGTTATTCCTAAGCATATTCTTATAAGATAACAACATGAAAGTTTCTTTTGGCTAGGTTGATAAACCCGATTGATTTGTGGGGTATAACGTCCCAAAACCAGCATATGATTATGAGAGACGCCGTAGTGGAGGGCTCCGGAAATTTCGACCACCTGGGGTTCTTTAACGTGCACCCAAATCTGAGAGCACACGGGCCTACAACATTTCCACCTGCATCAGAAATGCAGCCGCCGCAGCCGGGATATGAACCCGCGACCTGCGGGTCAGCAGCCGAGTACCTTAGCCACTAGACCACTGCGGCGGGGCTAGGTTGATAAACCCCTGGCTGGGTGGTGTTTCATAGATGTGTTATCAAGAATGAGGCAGTGCAGAGGCCGAATGGTACTAATGTACACGATCTGGTGCAGCAACCAAGCTGTTGCCAAGAACACTTTACATGCGAATAACAAACATGCTACAGTCAACTGCCGATTTTTCGGACATCTTCGCGGCACCGCCACTAGCCTCATAGAATCAATGTATAAGGAAGTCTGAAATTTCAGATGCTCGAATCTTCGGAGTCTAATTTTCTGAACTTTTTGGCACGACGGAAGGTCGGTAATCACCACTGACCTCCAGTGAAAACCACCACAACTGCATCACATGCGATTACGATCGCATAAATGAGCGCGCTGGTCTACTGTGGTGGCATCTGTTGCTTGTACTCGTTGATCGTTAGTGGAGAAACACACGGCCTTCGAGATTCATAACACTGGCCGTGTTTATCGTGCAACGGTGCTTCGCTGACAATCGAAACTATCCACCCGGAATTTTTTTGGCGCCAATAAAGTTCCTTTCGCTTTAGCGCTTGTGCTCGTGCGTGCCACTCTGGCTTCCCGCTCAGCGCTTTCGCGAAACGTTTTACCACTTCGAACTAGAACTAACCGTCGCACACCGATTTGGCTGGCCACGCTGGCTATCTTGAATGTTTACCAGCGCCACCTCCGGAGTATCCGAGGCACTGTCGCCTGCAATCGCGCCGTTTGTTTACGCAGCCCACATGGTGTTTGGCTAGGCCTAGTGCGTGGTTGTGCGATCGTGCGAAGTGTGCAATGCAACGCTAAGCCTAGGTGCTTCGACGCTCGTCAGCAAACTCCTTTGTTCATATCGTGAGGATTTCGCTTGCCTGTAATGGCCCCCACTCGGACCTTCGTCGTCCTCGCTGATGGCATCGAAGCGCAGAAAACAGTACCGTCGGTTAACGATAGAGAAGAAAGCCCCCATAATTAAGTTAGTGAAGAGTGGCCGATCGCAGGCTGACGTGAGCAAGGAGTTCAGCATTTCTAAGCAAACAGTTTCAGATTTCCCGAGGAACAAAGACAAGATCTTGGAAGCGGCTGATAAACCGTCTGGTGCCCAAAAAATGGATGCAAGCCAACGTGTTTATCCAAAGCTTGAGGACGTTCTCGTCGTGTGGCTTAATTCAATGATTGCCAAGCGGTTGCCAGTTCCGGGCTGCATCTTGAAACAAAAAGCGGAAACTTCAGTGATGATGAAAAGTTCAGTGATGAATGGCTCAGAAATTTTAAGCATCGGAATGACCTCAAGTTCAAGAAGATGTGTGGCGAAAGCGGCGCCGTCGACAGTGCAGTTATTGCGTAGTACTGCAGTGAAAAACTCCAGTCTTTGTTGCAGCAGTTCTCTGCTGACAACATTTTCAACTGCGACGAAACTGGCTTGTTTTACAAGCTGCTGCATGAAAGAACACTCGCTTTTGCTGGTGACGCATGCCATGGTGGTGAGCATAGCAAAGAACGGCTGACCGTTCTCGTCGGCAGCAACATGTCTGGCAGCGAGAAACGTCCTTTGTTAGTAATCAGGAAGTCCAAGAGCCCGAGGTCTTTTAAAGGGGCAACACTGCCAGTGTTATACGAAGCCAACAAAAAGGCATGAGTAACGCAGCAGTTGTTCGAGAGTTACGTCCGCAGCTTGGACAGAAAGTTTGAACAACAGAACAGACAGGTTCTGCTCTTCGTTGACAACTGCGCTGCTCATGGTCACATCAATAACTTGAAGGCTATCCAGCTGGAATTCATGCCGCCCAACACGACTGCAATCCTCCAACCGATGAACCAAGGCATTATCCGTAATCTGAAACTTTTGTACCGTTCACGTATACTCGACCGCATGGTGCTGTGCTCAGAAAACGGGAAAGGCTACATACAGTGTTGACCTTCGGTCTGCTGTCGGAATGCTTGTGGACGCATGGAAGGCAGTAACGCAAGACACGCTTCGTAACTGCTTTCGCCCCGCGGGCTTCGTACTCGACACAGAGGCAGCAGACTTGCCTGAAGAAAGCGACAGCGCGACTGACTTGTGCCTTCTCAAGGACAATCTTATCAACAACCTCCGCTCTGCTGGTGCTTCCATGTCCACGGAAATAACTTTTGAGCGGTTCGTCGATGCTGACAACCAGCTCGACTTCTGTGCAGAGCTAACCGACGATGAAATAGTCAGTCAGGTTATGGCGGATTCAGATGACCCTGATGTCGAAAAAGAGGAGCCAACGCCTGCGCCACCTACGACCGCCGAATTGATGCGAGCATTGATGACGCTGTCATCGATGTACAGTGATAACATGACCTGCTCAGATCGAGGCGAATGTGATCACATGCAAGCGCAACACCGTTCAAACAAGGATCAAGTTTTTCAAGCTACTGCAGCTCTAACACCGGCTGCCCTGACGGCACCCGCTGTCGGCTGCATGCCTTTTTTTTAACGGCTCTTTTCAGAGCCACCCCACTGATGCTTTGGCAGAGTTCCAGAAGTCTGGCACTTCGACCTTGACCCTCTTGATCCGAGAAATATTAATGAAGCATTTTTTGCTTGCATGGAGAAATATTAGCAAAATCGTGAGTTTTTTTTTGCTTGCAGTGAAAATTATCAGTAAAATAATGCATTTTTTTTGCTTGCATAAATTTTTTCAGACTGCCCAAATTTTCGGACGGTTTTTCACTCCCTAGAAGGTCCGAAAAATTGGCAGTTGACTGTATTTCCTCAGCCACTACACTTCTTCCGAATTCTCTGGAAGCATAACTGTTTTGACAGGAGAGGGTGTGCTTCCTTCGAGTATGGAGCTCCATATCTGCCTTGTAGACGTCAATATATATGCACATTTGTAATTTTGGATGCGAAAAATTTTTGACGTCCCACTTTTCAGAACACCTGCCCGAATTTCAGGTCCGATACTGGTAAATGTGAATTAATGAAAAATGATAAATGTGGCAGAAGGAAAGGTTCAATTAATTCCGGTTTCGGACCTGGAGCTCCAAAATTGATTTTGGAGCAATTTTCGAACCAGCGAAATAATACTTTTGCAGCACTAAAATCCAAATTTGGAGCAGGTTACAGGAAAAACAATTTTCATCATGAAAAACCAAATTTGGAGCAGTATTAGAAAAAAGGCTTGCATTGAAGAGAAAAAAAGAAATGTTCAAAACAATCAACCCACCTGAAAGCATGCAGAGTGAATTTGAGCACATGACTGTTTCAATTAAGCAGTGCTTTAATTACCCCACTGAGCAAACAATGAAGTCCACATTAGCATTTGCCATGTATGTTGAATCCTTTGACAGACACTGCAAAGTAAAATTTAAGGCGTCTGCCATGGAGCAAATCCCTATGCTCAAAAACATGGCAATTCTGTTGGACTTGCGAAAATTTAGGGTGGCAACATGTACTCCTTAATATCAACACTCAACAGCTCTGGTGTAAATTTTCAGAACTAGCAAGCATGGGGTTAGTGCGTGTACACTTGAGCGTGGTGTGCGCTGCTATGTGTGCTAGTGTATTACTTTGCCTCTTTTTCCTTCTCTCTTCTCTCGTTCCTCGCATAGGGGACCAAATTAGGTTCTACCTGGGTAACCTCTCTGCCTTTCTTTTGCTTTTCTTTTTCTCTCTCTGCGACTGCTGCTTTCACCCAAGAGTCCCTGCTTAGGAGAAAGTGCTGCTCTTACCAATGACCCAGCATGCCCGTCCATGCTGATGCCTGATGATGCCATGGATTGCGCAGACAAAGCATGCGCAGCTGCGGTCGGTTGCGGAACAATTCCTGCCAGGAAGGCACATCTGTAGAAGCCACCTCTCGGGCACACACCACCTGGTAGGCGTGGCCCCTGAGCAGACCATCAGATGTTGTACTACCCATCTCGTCGGCATGCTCCACCTACGAGAAATAAAAATAGTCCAAGCTCAACGGCACTTCTTTCCAGGCAGAGAACAAGCAATGCGGGCTCTACCATCACAGTCGAATCTATATATTATATCGAACTTAAAAATAAAAAGAAAAACAGTATTTATTTCAATATAACGATAGAAAACCTTAAAAATTTACCATATTTTCTGTCCACTAGTTGGCTTCGCAATTATGCAAGCAAGGTGGGACACGGCAATGTGAGGTGAGATTTTAGTTTCGTTGTCACTTTTTTGTTCACGTTGAACTGTGTCGATCGCCAGCACTTTTGCAGAAACAAAATGTTGTTCTATTTACGGCAGCAGGCAAGTTCAAAGAACTAAATGACCACCGTATACGGAGTGCATGGCGATGTAAAATTGTGAGAGAAAGCACATGATGGCAAGCAGTAGTTTCTAGTTGCTCTCCTTCGACAAGGAAAGGCATCTGCTTGTGAGGAAAAGCAAACTGCTTGCACCATTTCATGCTGCCTCATGTATTAGGTTTCCAGCAACTTTTGTTTGATGTATGTAGTTTTCCTTATAAATTCACATTAAAGAATTGTTATGTTCCAAAGTACTAGTTCATTACATAGTTGAACCACACAATAACGAAACCTGTGGAGAAACTGAAAAACAGAATTTTGTTATCGTAAAATAATGTGCTAGTAAAAATAAGGAACAGTAAACAAAACAAAACTTTAAAGCTAAAAGTGTTCACCTGCCCTGTCTATACTAGCAATATAGTAAGCAAATACATTTTCCATCACAACACAGCAGGTTAGTCTTTGTGACATTGTCACTGCACATTCCGAGAGATGCCCAAATCAAGCTGAAAACATTCAACACAACCAGAGGGTTGGTTGTCCTTGCCCCATGGAGTATGCCCCATTCCGAAAGATGATGATATATTGGTTTTAATGTCGCAAGGGCCATACTTCGCCAAAGAGCGCCATGGAAAATGTTGATAAAATGGCAATGGTGCATGGTTTGATGCAATACGCACAGACTATGAACTATGATAATGTTTCGCGGCTGTAAAGAGGCCGATAATTCCGCGCCCTGAGGTGGGTTAAAACATACAAGTATTTAAAATGATGGAAGTGACGTGAAATGTGTGTAGCGGAAGTAAAAGCCAATGTTTGTGGTGATAAAACTACATTGAGGAAATGAGATTAGCACGAATGCTAAAATTCCGCGCCCTGAGGTGGGTTAAAACATACAAGTATTTAAAATGATGGAAGTGACGTGAAATGTGTGTAGCGGAAGTAAAAGCCAGTGTTTGTGGTGATAAAACTACATTGAGGAAATGAGATTAGCACGAATGCCTCGTCAATGCATGCCCTTGAGCCCAAGGGCAGCGAGGCAAATGCTGTCTTTAATGGAACCACCGCAGCCTCGACCTCTGTACAGAGATCGTGCTACGGATCACCTCGGAATATGCAGTAAAAGCTACATAGACCTTTTAAAACATGAACAGCGATTCAAGCTTAAAAAGAGGATCTCAACCGATGAACATGACTGGATGTAATGGAAGTTGCTGTTGGTAGGGTACTAAAAAGAGTTTTTTTCATAGAGAGTCTAGCTCATTGCACTGAACAAGTATATGAAAAACCGTAGGCGGTTCCCCACATCTCTCACAGATGGGTTGCTCACCGCCAGTCAACAAATATGCATGTGTGCTGTGTGTGTGTCCTATTTGTAATCTGGTGAGCGTTACCTGCGTGTAGCGTGATTTGGATACTGGTGGCCAATTTCCAAGTATCGGTTTTACTACATGTAATTTGTTTTGTGTTTGTCTATCCCATAGCCGCTGCCAACACACCCTGAGCTCCCGTTGAAGGAAGGGCTTCAGGTCAAGCACAGGTACAGCTATGCATGTCTCTGTAGCAGCGCTGTTTTGGGCAGATGCAGCAAGTTGATCCGCCAAGACATTTCCCCGATCTCACGGTGTCCTGGCACCCAGCACACTATGACATGCTGTATGAGTGCGTATACTGTGCATAGGAGTGAGTAAGAGATTCAAGAACTGAATTTTTGTGTTTTTTCAGGGTTTTGAGGGCTTTTACCACACTTAGGAAATCTGTGTATATCACTGCACTTTGTAGTTTTATTTGTTTAATGTGTTTGACAGCCACAAGTATCGCATGAGCTTCTGCAGTAAAGATGCTTGTGTTAGGATGAAGAGTACTGGCATCTGAAAAGGATGGGCCAACGGCAGCGTACAAGACAGAAGTGTCCGTTTTTGAGACATCGGTGTAGAATTTGGGACAACTGTATTTGTGTTGGAGTTCATGGAAGTATGTGCGGATGTGTGCAACAGGTGCATGCTTTGTGACTTCCGCAAAAGATATGTCACAGTATATAAGCTGCCACTGCCACAGCGGTAGATATGCAGCAGGAACCATCAAACAGCGTTCTAAAAGTGGCACATTTGTTTCCTCAGCGAGCCCTCTCACATGAAGTCAGTAGGGCTGCCTCATTGAAGGACGGCTGTGGAACAGGGCAGAATAAGACCAATCATCGATTGTGAAATGAGAGGTGTGTTCTTTGTCTGCATTCACCTTGAGGTAGCAACAAAAGATGTGTAACATCTCTGTAAGTGGAGTGACCACTCATTCGATTCCACATACAGGCTTTCCACAGGGCTAGTGCGGAAAGCACTCGTAGAAAGGCGAATGCCCAAATGGTGCATCTTCAAAGCACTTTGAGTCGCAGACTGATAAACAACGGCCCCATAATGTAAGCGGGGGCTTATGAGGCTTCTATACCAATTCATGAGACATTGCTTGCCACTCCCCCGCGTAGAGCGTGACAACACTTTCAGAACATTCATGGCTTTTACACATTTTGTTTTTAAATACTTGATGTGCGGTACGAAGGCCATCTTGTTGTCCAAGATTAAGCCTAAGAATTTATGCTCCGCATTAACAGACAGACGGTGACCGTTCAGTTCAATGTCAGGTTTTGAGTCCATGCCTCTCTTTCAGGAGAACAAGACACACGTGCTTTTTTGTGGGTTCAGTCGGAATCCGTTTTACTCTGCCCATTTGGAGACCTTGTTTAAACCTAACTGAACCTGCCGCTCACACATTGCCAGGTTGCATGACTTAAAGCCAAGCTGGACATCATCAACATATGTACAATAGAACATACTGCGGGGGATGGACAGGTGCAAGGAATTCATTTTGATAATGAAAAATGTACAACTAAGTACACCTCCTTGCGGTACTCCCGTTTCTTGGACAAATGTTTGGGAGAGAACACTGCCCACACGGACATGGAATGTCTGATTGGACAAGTAACTCTCGATTATGGAAAGCATTATACCGCGCACACCCAGGTGAGACAAGTCTCTTAATATGCCAAAATCCCATATTGTGTCGTAAGCCTTCTCGATATCGAGAAACACAGAGAGGAATTATTGTTTGAGGATGAAAGCGTCTCAAATCTCTGCCTCAATGCGCACCAGATGGTCGGTGGTGAATCTACCCTCCCTAAACCCACACTGGAATCAGTCGAGCAGATTGTGTGTTTCAAGGAAATGTAAAAGTCGGCGATATATCATCTTTTCAAAAAGTTTACAAAGGCAGCTTGTAAGTGCAATGGGCCTATAACTCGAAATTTAGGAAGGGTCCTTGCCTAATTTCGAGATAGGGATAACAATAGCCTCTTTCCAGGAAGTAGGGATGGTACCAGAAAGCTAGATAGCATTGTATAGGGAGAGTAAAGTTTTTCGCGTTTTGAGCGGCAGGTTTTTCAACATTTCATACATGAAACTGTCGTAGCCTGGGGCAGAATTACTGCAAGAGTTTAGTGATGTTTGTAGCTCAGCTAAGTTGAAAGGTTGGTTGTATGCCTCTTAGTTGTGTTCTAATTTCTGCTTTTCTATCCTTGCTTTATATCTATGGAAAGCTTCAGTATAGTGTGACGAGCTAGGCACTTGCTCGTAGTGTGCACTGAGGAAGTTCGCCTGATCTTCCAGGCTGTCACCCTGTGTGTTTACGAGTGGGAGTGAGTGTGTCTTCCTGCTATCCTGCCAACCATGTTCCAGACTTTAGCCTCTTGTGTATTGAAGCGGTATAAGCCTTGGGAGAGGAGAAGAAGAAGCACGAGAGCTAGGGCAGGAAAGGAGAGAGGGATGAAGTGAGAAATAAAGCAGATTAAGATGGACGCCAGTTCCATACTGAAGCTATAATGCTGTTCCGTTCTTTAAAGTAGGGACACTAAATTATTTTGGCGCAGCCGGCCATCGAAGCCAACATGTGGGTGACGTTCTTTGCTGACGAAACCTCCGTGGACAAGATCATTTTTCGAAGTACCAAGTTTAAGATGGAATCAGCGGCGGACCTACCTCGTGAGCCCTGCTCGGAAGAACTCGTGAGCCTAGTTGTGGGAAAGGCAGCCGTGGACACTACTGAAATACGATGGAAAGCTGCTGTAAAAGTGAATTTGCGTGTGGTGACCTTCGACAGCCTAGTTCTTGAACCAGCATGTCGAAAAGATTCAGGATCAAGGTCTTCGACGGAAGAGGTTAGCCTCGTTTTGGAAGCTCTTTAGCTGCAACAGGAACAGATTGTGCAACAGAACCAAATAATGACATCCCTTATAAGCTCTCTAAATGCTGAGAAACCGGTGCTTAATTTCGCAGAGCCTGATGCCTTCGACGGTATGTCTTCAAGTCCAGAAAGTTGGCTTGAGTTCTACGAATATGCCGCTGAAAAAACACTAAACAGGTGGCTCTTTGATGAGGATAAAATCACTAACATGCGTGTTTACCTGAAAGGTGTTGCGCTCAAGTGGTATGACATATGCATTCAGGAAGACAGTGGTGACTCTTGGAGTCAGTGGAAGAAGAAACTTTTGACCGCATGCATTCGAAAGCAATCCAGTACATAGATGAAGTACAGCACTTAATTTCAAGTCCAAGCAAAGCTTACTTATCGAGTACTTATTCGAGAAACACCGTCTTTTGAAGCTAGCTGAGCCTTTGCT